ACCCTACACCATTTCAGGGCGCCTCATGACCTATTTCTGCACCATTATTGGATTCTGCAGCACAACATGTTATTTTCTGTTGTGGAATGGTGGTTAGTTTACAGTTTACCTAGTAAAGGGACTGCCTGTAATTCCATGTAGCAATATTTGCTTTTGAATAGTAAATGTGCAAGATAATTACTGGAGCTAGCTTATATTATCTGAAGTTGAATGAAAGAACAGATTGAAAAAAATGCAGGTTGTCAAAGGAATGATTCTGGCACATTGGGCAGAATTTCTGTATTGTCTACTGTTTGTTTAGCTCTGTAACCTCACACTGTGCTTTCTCCCCAGCTCCCTTCAGGGCTCAAGTTCTAAAAGACATTTGAACTCTTAAGTTTAAAAGAGTATGATAATGTAAATGCTGAAACAAAACATCAGAGGATTCTGACTAATCTAACAGCTAAACTTCCACCATTGTTATATATCAAGTGCAATTCTCCCACTGTCCACTAAAATCAATCACGTAGCCCTGATTTGTATACGTGTGATGTGGTTTTAAACATTTAATCCTGATAATGCATTATAAAATATAGATGGAAGCAGTTAACACACAAAAGGCCAAGCTGTCTAAACACTGGCACGTAAAAGAATTATGAGCCAGATGCTCCTTATGTAATCACTTACAAGATTTTGTGACTATTTTTTCATTGCTTTAATGGAAGTTGCATAGGTGTGCAAGATGAGTGCAAAGTGAGTGTAAATCACTTGCAACCAGGATAGGTGAGTGGAGAATTCTGTTTTAGTAGCATTATACACCCACTTTGCACAGTATAAATGACTATACTGAGAGGAAGAATGGTCCAGTGGTTAGGGCACTGACCTAGGACTTGGGAGACCTAAGTTCCATTCCCTGTTCTGCCACAGACTTCCTGTGTGACCTTGGGCAAGTCAATTAACCTCTCTGTGCCTCATTCCCCATCTGTAAAACGGGACTAATAGCTCTGCTTTGCCACACAGGGGTGTTGTAACGATAAATCCATTAAAGATTTGTGAGGCGCTCAGATACTATAGGGATGGGGGCCATATAAGTACTTGATGTAGGTAGAGAGATGTTCAAGGCAGTGGAAAATATATCTGAATATATGTGATCACGCTTTAAGAACATTGTCTGTGGTTATTGGGAAATTGTATTCTGTTTCCATGTACTTGGAAAACTGCAAGCAGACAACAACAATACTGTACTTATACTGGTTATTCATTAGCCCCACCAACATTAGTTATGCATTCTTTCACAGGCAGGTCTTTCAAAAGAGCTCAGCACCCAACAGTTCTCGCTGTGCTTAATATTTAGAAAATCTGGCCACTTCATTTAGGTGCCAAAATGGGAGCTGATCGTTGTAAAAATCTAGCCCTAATTATCAGCACTGAACACTTTGGAAAATCTGTCCCTCAGTGTTTAAAAGAGCATCTATTTTTAGCCTAGACGTTCCTACAAAAATTAAAATTCCTACCACAGAAACACATTGAAGCAGTTGCTGTGGCCACAATCAACCCAACAAGTCCCAGGAACATCTTTTTGTTTGATTTCTGTATTAGATGATGCATATTTTTGACAATATTGAAAAATCAACTGTAGTTGGCCACGTGCAATATGCATGGTATATATCAGGTGAAGATATTAAGCCTGGGTTGTGCTTTAAATGATGGGGGCAGGGGATTCCTGGGGTCAAGATTCCTCCTCTGACATTAAACCCTTCATGCAAAAGCAGAAATACCTTTGGTTGGTTTAGGGCACTCAAACATTGTGATTGTTTTTTGTGTATCATTAGTGCACATTTAACCTCAGTCTATGCAAAATCTATCATTTGGAAATCAAATTGAAAGAATATTATACAATAAAAGCAAAATATAATGTCTCGGAGAGCCAAACTCATACAAATGTGAAACATTTGCTTTTCACCAGGGCAGTTTTGTGCATATTTTTCATGCTAGTAAAAGGCAAGCTTTGCACCAAGAATGGAATTTTTCACTAGACATTTGTGAAATAACTGTGGGCTGCAGAAAAATAAAGTCAGGAAACTGAGGTAAAAACAACAGCAAATGTTTCTGAGACGTTTCATTGGAAACTGTTTGTACAGCATAATCCTCAAATTTGGCACAGCTCCTCTGAAGAATTGGCTGTTATAGGGAAGGCTTCAGTTACCAGATTGAGGACTTTTTATGTTTCCTCTGCTAACATGTTGGACCCAGATCTATGGATGGACAGCATGTGAGTGTATCACTGCAGTGCCTCTGGGATTATTAAATACCCAAGGACTTCATTTTATGACAATAAATGATTGAAGAGTTGCACGTAGTCTGTTTATATTTAAATATACACCTGGAAAGCAGCAAGAAGAACAGGAATAGAAAGTATCTAGACATTGTTTCCATGGGGCCAGATTCTGAAACTACTTGTGGAGTAAGATGCTACTGAAGGTCAGGGCCGGTGCAAGGATGTTTCGCGCCCTAGGCGAAACTTCCACCTTGCGCCCTCCCCCCTCCCCGAGCCCTGTGGCAGCTCCCCACCGCCCCCGCCCTGAGGTGCCCCCCCCGCAGCAGCTCCCCACCCCTCCGCCCTGAGGCACCCCTCCACCGCGGCAGCTCCCCACCCCAGCTCACCTCTGCTCCGCCCCCTCCCCGAGCCCTGCGGCAGCTCACCCCCCCGGTGGCAGCTCCCCCGCCCCCCGGCCCGGGGAGCCGTGCGGCAGCTCCCCACCCC